AAGTCAAAAGTGTAGTAGATCTGCTTCATTTCAGCATGTCAATCAATCAATTACTTTCTCACCATTTTGTTTCTCGCTTGCTTCCTCTTTCTTTAAATTTTCCTGCATATTGCAACGGGTATGAGCCGAGACTCATACCCGTTGCAATATTTCAGTGTCGTTACGCCAAGCGGTTACAGCACACGACAGCACATGAGTGCATACACTGGCCCGGACCGCCATGTGCTCCGCACGCACACGCTCAATTTAATTGCCCCCCTTTTCGAGGTAGCGGAAAGGCTCCTGAATTTCTAAGGGGCGAAGCTCCGGAGCGCCTAGCCTTGTCTTCCATTGTGGCCACGGCTTAAAAGCGGGGTCCCTGTTAAAACGCCGAAAGAGGCCTAATTATGAAAAGCCGAACGTCAGAACACATAAAAAATGGCAGCATATATACGGGGTGTATGATGGAGAGTGGGGTGAAGCATCCGTCTGTCCATTCGTTCTTGCTTCCGTCCATCCATCCGTTCGCCTGTGTGAACATACATGCGTCCATCCACCCGTCCATGCGTGCATCTGTTCGCGCGTCCACACGTCCATCCGCGCGTCCGTCCCTGCGTTCATCCATGCATCCGCCCCTGCGTCCATCCATCCGTCTGTGCAGCCATCCGTGCGTCCGTCTATGCATCTGTCTGTATGTCCGTTCGTCCATCTAGTCACCACTTCAAGTACCACCATCTCGCATCTTTTCATCATATATTCCGTGTATAGAAGCACCACCATCCAGCGGACATTCCAAGGACTAAACGAAAGTGGGCACACGCACACTTTCTTACGGCTTGCGCTTCGTGTCTACTTCCCACCTTTAACTGCCTCGACTTCATGGTATATACTAGTTCACTGTATTCATGGCACTCCGGCCCAATGCTCGCCCAACCTTTCTAAAACCAAGGAGGTTATGCCCAGCGATTACACCGTAGCAACTCTTTCTTGTCAGATAGCGCTCAATGTACATGCCAATGGCTGCTAATTGGGAATGAGAGACAGGAGAATTCGGCTTTTAGTGAATGCGCATGCTGCGAATTTTTTAATTGTTCAACAACGCACAGGAGAACTCTCCCACCGGCGCCACCTTGCAGGTGACAAACCGTAAGACAGGTTACACACTACGCACTACTACGAGGGACAAATAGGTGCCGCTTTAAGGAGCTTCGCTCCTAAAACGAAATGCCGAATAGACATAACATCGAAAACCACTTGAATTGACACCTAAAGCTGCGCGACAGTCTATCTATTCAGAGGGTAATTGACGAGGAGATGTGGCGAGCCTCCAGAAGAGAAAAGCTGACCTTACTTGCAGAGGCGGTTAGTTTGTGAGTTGGACAAGAACGTAGGTTCTAAACACTACAGGAGGCGTGAGAAACAAGGAGAACGCAATGCCAGAGTGATTACCGATTTTCCTGTAGAATACTGCTAATAGTAATCTCGAAGGCAGTGATCCACGCAATCCATGCTCCTTTGAATCTTCATGCACTTCCTTCATAAGGGAGACAACTAGGCTCGAAGACAACGTCGAGTGAGTGGTTAGAGACCAACACCGCCGCTCACAGAGCAAGAGCCAAGGGTTACGCGGACATAGTCCGGGAGCTTCTCCGGGGAACCGGTACGATGTCGACATTTTAAATTTTCGACAAGGAATTGGACACAACTTGTTTCTCTCAAATGCAATATTACCATGCGTGGTATTTATATGGGCTCAGTTTAAGCACACAAGGACTGCGAGAAATACTCGGCTTCACGTTTGTATGGTAGATAATTTGGTTAACTTTGCGCGCAGAACGCGAACACTTAAGACCATTCCGGAGCTTGCACGACCACCATAGACAAGGCTCTAAAGTTCGACGTGTGATGTAAAAGATGGCGCGTCCCAACAATGATCACTTTACCGAGGACCAACGCGCTTTGCCCATGCTGTATCCGTGTACAGCGAGCATTGCTTGGGGTAATTTGACTTTTCGTTAGGTGGGCACTAGTTCAGTCAAATGAATAAATTTACCTTGATTGATTGATATGTGGGATTTGACGTCCCAAAACCACCATATGATTATGAGAGACGCCATACTGGAGGGCTCCAGAAATTTCGACCACCTATAGGGTTCTTTACCATGCACCCAAATCTGGGCCCACGGGCCTACAACATTTTAAAATGCAGCCGCCGCAGCCGGGATTTAATCCCGCAACCTGCAGGTAAGCAGCCGAGTACCTTAGCCACTTGGCCACCACGGCAGGGCAACTTTTATCTTGGCAAAACTATTTATCGTCGTGCTGATGCTGGAATTTTGACGTTTCGGCATTTCGATGTTTCAGTGTTTTTATTTTTTGGCATTTCAAATTTTTATTATTTCATCAATTCGGTTTTCTAAGTTTTCGGCATTTTAATAGTTTTCAATGCCACCCATATAACCATCTTTATAGTCGAAACACATGTGAGACTAAAACAAATGTTTGATAGACTTCAACGCAGACATAGGCTAATTGTAAGGTAACAGTTCGCTGATCCCGGTGAAAATAACCTAGGGGAATGAGAATCAATGAGTTGATCTCTATTAAAGGCTTCGCAAGAAAACTTGAAAGACAAATGCACATGCCATGCACTGTGTGTCCCAACTAATTACCCTTATTAAAATGGTATCTTGCCACCGGTAAGATGGCGGATTTAATTCTCTAACACTTTTTCTAAACACACTTTCGAGGCATATCATTCACTACAGTAATTTTGTAAAGCCTTCTTGACCGCAAGGTTTAAAAGGTTTACATTTCCGTATGCACTTTATGTCACTCATTTTACACTATATGAGGCAAAGCTCCGCTAACGTATGGTTACTAACCAATACGATATTCAGAGCTTCACCCACTAGTCATAATTCACTTCGTGGAGAAGCATGTTTTTTCTTCTAATGACACGTTCGTGAATATTTGATGAGCTTCTTTAATTCTCATTTTTCACTCTGTTTAACATAGGTCACGTCGAGTTTACTAGCCAAGCGATAACAATGGTGTGGCGGCATTCGAACTCAGTTCAAAGGAATGATAGTAGATGCTAAGGATGTCAATATATAAGTGAATCTCTATCAAACGCGGCTGCATTCAGTGAAGGCTAATTTCTTGCGATTTCATCAATTCGCTATCTCACCCACCGTCGCACCGAGTAGCCCAATCTGGCGATAACGACAGCGGCACCGGCACCTCGTACGAGTCGATGACGGTGGACACGAAAGAATGCGAAGCGTAATTGTGGCAAAATACAGTCTCTCGGGCTTGTCGGGTCATCCGGTCGAGCAAGATACGAGACGCTCGCCCTATCTGTCATGTGATTGCTTATCTCGCGAGGCGCAGTTGTCCGTCGCAGCTCGCAAAAGAACACATATTCCACGAATGCAGATTGCGGGCCTCCATTTTACATGCGCAGCAGCACTTTAGACTAGCCTGTGTAACGCTATCCCTCCGTACGAACCCACCACACGCCAAAGGTGTTGGCGCAGTGCCAAGTAGGCCACGCCGCTGCGGCGCGTTGATGTCACGCTCTCTCGCAGTGTGCGCTGACGTACTCTCTACCTCGTCTGCCACGCGCTCGTCGCAGCGCCCGCAGCCTGCCGCCTCGTCCGTTTGCCCTGCAACACCTGCCGCAACCACCGCTCTATACACCAGCTTACTCGTTGGTTCACGCGCAATAAACCAGACGTACGCCTAGCGTATGCGTTGAAACATGTCTGTACGAGTGACCTACAATAACTACGTTTGCCGCCGCTTCAAATGAATCTTTCAGCGCTCACCGCTAGCACCCACGTTAGAGTCCGTCCATCTCATGACGCCACGCATGCGCAACACTGCTGCTTCGCATCTCATCAGGTTACCTTCAGAGAGATGGTCCCAGATTTTTTTTTTTTTTTGACAGCAAGCGCACGAAATCCCCTTATTTGTCTTGTGAGGAACTTTATTTTGAGCAAACACATGAACTCTACATGTACAGGTCATGTATACAGGTATATAACAGTGATTATGCAGGGAGCGCTTGTAAGCCTCTAACGCAAGATTGGAAGAACTGCACTCTGCTTCAAAACTCGTTAATGTCCAGCGGTCTGTATCACCACCGTCTTTTCGAAAGTAGATGAATCGTTTTAGACACTCAGTGTGCATTGGCGTGTTTTTTGGTGTCACCCTTGCTTCCATAACCAAACGAATGTAATGAATGCTGTTTGGAACAATAGAGTCAGAAACCTATGCCGGGGTACATCCGCGTAGTATGTCTACAAAAAAAGGACACGTTTCAACTCGTCTGAAACTTTGAAGGCGCCCGTATGTGACACGTAGTTACAGCAACAGGTACGAGAACCTCATGTGGCCTCTGTGTCAGTGGCGCATAGGAGTCCAACAGCACAAGCCATGAAAGGGTTAAGTAAGCTCACTTATGCTGTCAGTTAAGGTAGTGCAAAAAACACAATTTCTAGAGATCGCACACATGTTAATAATTTACGCATAATATATAACGAAAGTTATTAGCCGCTCAAATACTACAGCATCATTTGATATGTTGGCACAGCCTTTAGTAGCCTTAAGTTTTGTTTTAAAAAACTTTCTTTGTATAGATGGCAGGCTTCGTTGCCCGTTATAAACTTGTTACAGAAACATGCTAAACCACTGTTATAAAACCGTATATGAAACCATAGTGGTTGTAGGAAAACGAGCTTGGCAAGCTTGGTTTGGTGTTTAGCAGAGGCACCTTAACCGAGGACATTTTTGCGTAGTGTAACGTCGGCGTTAGTTCCCACAAACAAAATAGCGATAAATGTCAGTGCTGCGGACTCGAGAGATCATCTCAGCTGTGAAATATTGTTAAAGCGTTAAAGCTTCACCCACAGCAGTACCCATGTCCATAATTAGGCACGTAAAGCGTAATTTACGACCTATATGAAAGCTTCATGTCGTGCAGGTTCCATAAAAATAGTATTTGAAGTCACAAAATATATTGGTTATGGTTAAATTTTATGCAATGCTTTGGAAGTCATTGAGCCAAGGCACGTGTGTTTCGGCCAAACTGTAACACCAAATTTAAATGTGCACGCCACGACACAGACAGGTAGTCATACAAGTCTTTCATAGTCACCACAGTCATCACGTCAGCTGGGAGACAAAGCATAAATAATAACAGATTAGTCGTCGTTCAATCCCACTGCTGACAGCTATGCGATGATCGCCATAAATATTCATGAGTTGGAAGCACACCACCACTTAACGTGATTCACCTCCGCGGTCGCTACAAACGCAAGGTCAGGTTTCGGGTTCACTGGCAGATCTTCCATCCGACACAAGACCAGCCTCGTGAGCCATCGAGTGGAACGACGTGTGACCATCAGCAAGCAACACTGCCGGCTCGCCCACTTCAATGATGCGGCCCTGCTCCATGACCACAACCCGGTCCGAGTGAAGTACTGTGTGCAGCCTGTGCGCAATAGTGATGACGGTGCAGTCCACCATATGCTCCCTCAGGGTCTGCTGCACAAGCAGGTCGGTCTCCATGTCCACTGACGCTGTGGCTTCGTCCAGAACCAGAATCTTTGTCTTCCTGAGAACGGCGCGAGCCAGGCACACCAGCTGCCTCTGTCCCACACTCAGATTCAGTCCACCCTCAGTGACCTCGAAGTCGAGGCCAACTTCTTCAAAGGCGTCCTTGAGGTGCGCTCTTTCCAGAGCAGCCCAGAGTTCTTCACTGCCGTGGTTCCCGGTGGGGTCGAGGTTGTAACGCAGCGTCCCGTGGAACAGCACTGGGTCCTGCGGAATGATTGTGATCCGGGAGCGCAGATCGTGCAAACCTATCGTCGAAATGTCGATGCCGTCCACCACGATTTGGCCCTCACACCTTTCCACAATGCGGAAGAGACTGAGAGTCATGGTTGACTTGCCGGCACCTGTCCGGCCAACGACTCCAATCTTTTCGCCCGCCCTTATGTCGAGATTAATATTATTCAACGCTAGATCCAAGCCATCTCGGTAGCGAGTTGAATAAGACCTGAAGCACACGGCACCCTCTCGGGGCCACGCCGGGTCGGGACTCCAGCCAAGACTCCAAGGTGCTTCCGGGGTGAGTCTCCTATACTCGTCCAGGCGCTCGGCAGAAACAAGATTCGCTTCAAGTTCCGTGGAGAAATAAATGAGGTAGTTGAACGGTGCGATGGTGTTAAGCGAGTAAGATACCATGAGCCAGCCATTCCGGCATCGATGTTGTTTCTGTTGGTGACTAGAAGCAAAAGCATTGTGATGAGCAGGATGTCGCCGATTATTTCGAGGCGTATCTGCATCCAGTAGTTGCAGTGCAGACTGTTGACTGTGCAGTTTTGTGTGACGTCGACTTTGTAGGTCATTGTCCTCGACGAATATTCGCTGGACGCCATAACTCCGCACGCTCGATAGGCCCGTCACGGTCTCGGCAAGATGGTTGTTGACAGGCGATCGGGTCACTGACTCGAGTCTTTTGACCTGACGCAAAGACTTGACGTACACTTGTCGCAGAATAACGAATGACACGACGACCGGAATGGCGATGAGAATGAATATCGGAAGGTTTACAGAAATTAGCACTATCATGCCGATAATTTGAATGAGAAACTCCAGGAAGAAGTTGCCCACCATGGGAAGTTGGACGTCGAGCTGGTCGACATCTTTGCCGAACCTGTTCAATATGCGGCCAGAAGGAGTTGCCTCAAAGAAAGATAGTGGAGCTCTCATGACGCCGGAGAGCATCAAACCAGTGCAACCTTGTTGAGGCCGAAAGAGCGACCCTCCATAGCAGGGCCACGCCAATGAAGCCTGTCAAACTCTCGCAGACGCACAAGATTGCGTAGATCATTATCCTGTAGTTTCTCAATAGAATATCCTGTGTTCCGTCTGGAAGCGGTGGATCCGTGCTCCACTCGCTCAGCCATATACCAGTGTAAATATCGATAGCCCTGAAGGCGCCGTAGAAAAGAAGCGTGAACACCACGAGGGGACCAGCATGTCGGATATAGTTCAGGTACACTCTCATCTTAATCGAACCCTCCTCGACTATCTCTTTCTGAACGATATTCATCTCCTCCTTCTCTGGTTTGCCTTCCGACATGGCAGTCTGTTTCCGTGCCAGAATCCTCCCCCTGCTCTGACTGCTTCCGCTTCTTCTTCCTGACGAATTCATTGAGGAGTTCTGACAGAACGCTACCTTCTTCCTTAAGCTCTTGGTAGGTGCCACTCTCCACAATGGACCCTCCTCTCATAACAACAATGCGATCGACGTCCGGCAACACTGAAAGATTATGAGTAACCAGAACTCTCGTCACGCCTTTGAGAAGGCCTCGTGGACCAATCAGGTCCTTGAAGATAGCCACACCAACATGGGCATCAACTGCACTCAAAGGATCATCGAAAAGATACAGGCCTTTGCGCTGATAAGCGGCTCGTGCCAAGCTTACTCTTTGCTTTTGACCGCCGCTAAGATTGATGCCCTTCTCGCCTATCTCAGTCAAGTCACCACCAGGCAATATTTCCAGGTCTTTTTCAAGGCAGCATGCTCGTAGAACTTTGTCGTACAGTTTCCCATCGAAGCCCTTCGTAAACAGGATGTTGTCTCTCACTGTTTTGTTTTGAATCCAGGGACATTGGGGAACATAAGCAACGTCTTCAATGCAGTCCACTGATCCGGACCGAATCCCTAAGATCACCGAGCAGAGCTGAGAGTAGTGAAGACTTTCCACTCCCGACGGGGCCAACAATCGCAACCAGCTCACCAGTTTTCACAGATAAGTCGATGTCGTGCAAAACGCATTCTTTGTCCCACGACCAGGACAGTGTCGCGCCTTTTATTGTGACGTCTTCGCCATCTGCCGGCCTTCGCGACACTGCGCACCGATCTATTTCAGATGACATCAGGAACTTCCTTATTCTGCCGAAAGCCACATTGGTTTGTATTGCGTTCGAGATGAAGTCCGGAATCAGGAACATGGAGTATCGCATCTGATTGAAGAGCGTCAAGGAAACAAACGTTATGGTCGGGTTCAAAGCGTTCCTGTCGCTGATCAGCACGTAGGTGACAAAACTTGAGAAAGCCACCAGCACCGAGGAACAAGTCATGCAGAAGCAGCTGAAGGCGGTAAGGTACGAGTACTTTTTGAGCAAAGTAACTTCTTGCGAGCGCAACGTTTCAATTTTTTCCGTAAATGGGTTTTCCCAAGCGAACAACTTCAGGATCTTGATGCTATTTAATATTTCCGACATACTCTTTATTCTTCGGTCCTTTAGCTTCATCTGCGCTGCCTGGTACTTCTGACCGAGGCTCATGACGATGAGTACGAGTGGCATAATAACGATCATAACACCAATACCAGCCAAACAGGCGACGCCCAGATACTGCCATAAAAGCACTATTGAGATAATTATAAGCAATGGTGCAGAGGAAATAAAACCGAAAGATGCTGCCAGTCTAAATACGCGGTCAGCGTCTACAGAAACCAAGTTCACCATCTCACCGACCGTGTAATCTTGCTGTCCTTCGCTCGAAATCTTTAACGCTTTCCGGTATATTGCACCAATAATGGCCGCTTTCATGCCGAGGCCAGTAAGCGAAAGTGTACAGTCAATATGGCGCACAAACATCGCCGTTATGAAGTTAGCGCCCACTATTCCAAACGCATACATGACACCCTTCCATGTGGGCTCGTCGCTAGCCATGTAACCCGTGATAAGGTGGAGCAACAATGCAGGTGCTGTTCTCACTATTGTTCGGATACAACCGAGGATGCAACCAAGCAGAACCGGTTTCCAGAAGGCCTTTCTCATTGTTCTGAAGAGCGACGGAGTTGGCTTCACACATTCGCAGGAACCATCTTGGTGCTTGTAACCAGCAGAGTCCAGCTCCTTGTTCCAGTAAACACTCCACTCATCATGCTTCACACGCGTCACTAACTCCGGCCTCGCTTTGAACAGGTCGATGAGTTCCAGGCTCCGCCTGAAACCTTTCACGATCAGTGGCGTCATCCATATGAACATCAGAGACGAAAGTGGCCCGGCGGTAACGTATGGTCTTTTGGTGTCAGGACGAAGGTCGGTGATGCAGGACAGTACAAATTGAACCACCACCATCGGATAGGAAATCATGCTGACAGCGAATTCAATGGGGAACACATCCGGCACGTCAACGTCGTCTCGGAACACGTCTTCGAGGTAGTGGAAGTACTCCGGGAGTTGAGTGACGGCCGCCACGAACCAGAAGAACATCATCAGGTTCGAAGAACCGGCGCCTTGCCGCCGGTTGTGCTCTTGCATGATTATCGTGATCGCGAACGTGACGCAGCGAACCATGTCGGCAGTCAGCGAAGCCCAAGACGAGTATGGCACCTCCATGCTGAGCTTACAGGTGAATGAGAAACCGTACGCCAGGGCGAGGGTCAGGCTGAACAGGAGGCGCAGGACACTGAGCGGAGTGAAGCATAGTGGTCTGGTCCTCATCACGGGACACCCCTTGTTCCCGGTGTCGCACAGGATCCATGGCAGGAAACCGAAGAGAAGCAGGACGCTTCCCGGCAGGTAGGCAAGCACGGTCGACTCGAAGCAGTTGGTGAAGCGAGGGTAAGCCGAATACCAGGTAAGTTCCCAGTCCCAGACGGGGGTCAGGCAGAAGGAAGACTCCGCCATGCTGCCCGCCCGCTGACCGACGAGCATGCAAGGGTCATAGACGGGGTGCAGCCGCGGATCGTGCTGGTCGTGCGGCACTCTCACTAAGAACACAGCGCGGCTATCGCCCGGCAGGACTGTAGACAATTGACGAGAACACCCCCTCAGGCGCGTAGATAAGGTTATTCCTGGTAATACTCGCTGTCGCTATCGAACTCTCTTTTCTTTGCGCTTTGGTGAGGGCGTACGGGTGGACCTTATCAGTTGCTCCATTCTCGCTGTTGTCTATAGACGAAACCAGTGATAGCGTTCCAAACGACTTTTCCAGTAGCCGTGGTTTCCCGCTCCTTTGTTTTTTCGGCCTTGAGAATTCCAGTATTATTGCTGATTGATTGATTTGTGGGGTTTAACGTCCCAAAACCACCATATGATTATGAGAGACGCCGTAGTGGAGGGCTCCAGAAATTTTGACCACCTGGGGTTCTTTAACGTGCACACAAATCTGAGTACACGGGCCTACAACATTTCCGCCTCCATCAGAAATGCAGCCGCCACAGCCGGGATCTGAACCCGCGACCTGCGGGTCAGCAGCCGAGTACCTTAGCCACTAGACCACCGTGGCGGGGCTCCAGTATTATTGCTACATAATAGCGCTGTAAGCAGTCATTAATGCTGTCGCAACCTCTGGATACGCCAGCAGCAACGCTTTGAAAATTTGCAGGCAGTATTCCATGAACAGCCGAATGCTGTAATCAGATATTTGCTCATTCTCTAAGGCATGTGCGAGAACAAGGCTTGTAAGCTGGTTTATTTAAAGTGTGTACAGATGTTCATAAGCGAACTGTGCTAAACACACTGCTATAAAGATGTCTATAATCTGGCGCCCTGCACAGCTTGTGCCACACTAACATTCCAGCGGCTGCTTGTAACTTGGGTAGTTTCCGCTTGAATCATGTAGCTGGAATCCGCCTCAGCAGATCACATTATTTATGTCTAGGTTGTCAGCCTCACCAACAAGTATGCAAGCAAAATAAGTAAACAATTAGTAAGCAAGCAAGAATTGGTTTGCGCTAATGTACCCATAAGTGAACATATAAGTGCTGAAGGGCAAAAGATCTAATCTCTAGATGTCCTGCACCAGTTCGTGCTACTTGGCCACACGTCGGCGTTGGGCATCCTTCGGACATAACGCGAAGTAATACACACACCGGGGATAGAGTTATCACAGTGTCTCCTGTACTATGTTGATAACAAAACAAAATTTTGTAATGACGCAAGTGCTGCCGTCGTCCAGTTTGAATTCCCCTGCACCTGTTTAAGCTGGCTAAGTATACCTTCGATACTTATCGAGATTTGCACCCTCGTGGTCTTCCTGATAGAAAGAGGACAAAACCTACGTTCACCCTCGTGGATAAGCGCAACTAAGCCATCCGCAATAAACATACCGTAAGTAATAACGATCGTTAGGGTCGGGCGAGTCAAGCGACACAGTGTTGATCTCCGGCACTGCCCTCGACTACAGAGTGTATAAGTCATGAGCTAGTTCGTTATCAGCACCGAACGGCATCGCTTTGTTTTCTCTCCTGCGAGTGTTTGCCCGAGTCGGGTGTTATCGAGTCCCTGCCTTTTGTTTCTCCTCGCTGGGATCTGTACATCGACAAGTTTCGCAAGTCGCAGATATGCGGTTCATATTTGCGCTACTCCCTGCACGCGAATGAACAATCACGCACTGACCTGAGTCCTAGGAGGCTGTTATGAGCACTGCCGAATTCCGCAATATGGTATAACTGCGCAGTGGCGGCACTTTTAAGCCAATTCGAGGTGCCGTGCCGGCCCTCTCGGCAAATCGGAGTTGGGAAATCACAAAATTCCACAACATCGCGGAGAGATAAAGATTGAAAAAACTTTTAATAAAAACCGGAAAATACTGCAGGCGTATGTAAAATGCTATATACTCTGCATAAAGGAAGGTGATTGAGTACAAAGAAAGAGTCCTAGAAGGAGCAGGGCAGGAAAAAAAAAGGAGATATGATCGAGATATCTGCTTGTCTTCACATGACGACGATGGTGATGATTATGTAAGTTACGTTATAGTTTATCAAATGAAGTAATGTCCTCTAGGAACGTGAACAAAAGTTTCCAAACGTGACGTTGTTGAGTAGATAGAGCAGGTCCGAGTATTTTTTTTTTTTTTTGAGATTTAGCAGTTCGTGGAAAGTAGAGCCTAATCTACTTTGGAACAAAATCCTCCTTTTCTGTATATATATTCCTGGCAATCTAACAAAAATATCTGATTCTAATGCACCGCAGTTGTCGACAGTATGGGTCGGCGGGGAAACCAACGCGGTGCATGAAAGCTATTGGGGAGTGCTGCGTTGAGGCGAAGTCGATGATAAAGTGTCTCGAGGTGACGAAAAAAAGGAGGTGCAGAAGTCTTGATTTTAGGTCAGGGTCTATGGAGCGCAGAAAGAGGTCTCGAAGCGAAATATTCCGCAATTCCTTCTTTTCTCTGTTGGCGTCTTTCTTTGCCATTGTTGAAGCATCAAATTAAACGGAGTTACTCAGTATGCACCATAGCACCCTCGGGTATTTGGTTTGTACAACCCACAGTGGTACATCGGGCGTAGTGTCACGCTGGCTCGAGTACGCGGGCTCGATATCGGGCCACGGTGTCTGAATTTGAATTAGGGCAAAACATGAACAGTCTTGCGCTTCGCTACAGGTGCACGAAGCGTAGGGACCCCACCTGTTTAAAATTAACCCGGAGCAGTGGCGTAGCCATGGGCTCGCACACCAGGTCCACCCCCGTCGTTGTTGTTTTTTTTTCGTCAAACTTCCAGAACACGTTCCGGAAGTTTGACATTCTTCCGTCAAACTTCCGGTCCGCAAGAATCAGAAAATACACAGAGTACCTTACTAACAAATTCAATGCACTCCAGCTACTAGGTATAAACGCTTCTAAAGTATGGTTCTCCCTTCTCAATTTCTAAAGGGACTCTTGAATCCATTCGGTATAGTACACTGTTAAGTCGTCCGTCTAGGAATTTCAAACCTGCCATTGTTAACGTCTGACAAGTGGAACCCTACAACACGTGTACATCCTCACCTCCTCACCATTTCCCCCCCTTTTTTTTGTTTTACGGAATACCTGCTCTATTTTCACTCATACAATTCGTCACAGCGACACCCCTCCTCCACTCTCACACCTCCGTATCCAACAATGCCCCTTCCCCTCCTTCGTTAGGATGGAGGAGAAGGTACGAAGCGTAAACATGCTAGCGCTAAAGAAGCGAGTTGTGTTCTATCCTTGAGGTAGATAAGTACGCTTGGCGAAAGTACGGCTCAACACATCACCAGTTCACGGATTTTTCATAGCATACATTCACACACAGTCACATCTCATATTGCCTTTCATCTTGTGGTAATACATGTGCCAAACATCACCATCGCCTAGAAATTTTTCAAGAGCAGGCATTAGGACTAATTACAATTCAACCGCACACATCTCCCTCTGTTTCTATATGTATCAAGTTTTCTAAATGTTTTGCCTCTTTGTATGTTATTCGGTCATAAGGTGGTACCACTGATATTTCGTCTCATAAATGCCGACCTAAATATTCTAAATTTTACTTATTCCAACCTTGCTAATAGCCGTACTACAAAATTTTCAAAACAACTTAGTGCAACTATTTATGGGAGATTTATTATTGCATTTTCAAACATTTCACTTTGAACCCATTAAAATCGGATATCAAGTCATCTTCATTCTTATCAGTCAAACGAGGAACTAAGGATCATTTCATTAACATCTCTGTCGCAGAAGCAGGTTCAATTACGTTTTATTTCCTACAGAACGTTTCTTAATCCACTGTTGCCATTTCTTCAAGTGTTTGAATATTACCCATGTATGAATTTTGCCTTTGATGTGTTCTCGCGTTGCTGGTTGCACGGGCCGTTAATGCTTGTGTGAATTTGTGTACTTCAATTGTCACGGACGGCTATTTTTGGCGACACCGCATCACGGCAATTAACGGGCGCCGTACTCCCCGACTGACCGTGAGAAACGGCGGCGCATGAAAGGGAACCGATAAGTGCAAAATGGGGTGCTCTCTTTAGAACTTCGCCGCCGACGGTTAATCCTTTTGTAACTGTGGCGACGTCTGCAAGGTCGTAGAAGGCCGCGGTATACCCCGAACAAGGATTAGACTACAAGATGCACCGACTGAGAGCTAAGTGGTTGACCGTTCCCACGGGGAAAAGCGTGGGAAACGCTCTGGTGGCCAAGCCGTATGACAACAACCCGACAGGTTGTCACTCTCGCTAGTTGCGGGCCCTCTCCCTATTAAAAAGGGGTGGGGTCAAAATATTTTCGGGGCGGAGTTTTCATCAATTAGACGCACATGATTGGACCCATGTAGAGGTTTCTTGTCCCCAAGGAAGAGAGTGAGGAGACACGAGGGGATTTAAGCGCAGGATTTTGCCGTGCTGGGCAGACTAGTCGCTGACCAAGATGGTGTAGAAACAGATCAACAAGCATCTCTTCTAGAAGTTTTTAGTGTGGCTCTGTATCGACTGGCCACCTAAACTTAGCCGTTCGTCTAGCTGTGACGCGATATTAACGTCTGCAACGTAGACATCGGGACTTCGCCTCGAGTTAGCTCAACCTGCTCGAAGTCACCTGCAAGCCCTAGCCTCCCGGAGCCACCAGCGTTGCAACACCGCCGACATCGCAGTCGTGCCAGAACTCTCTTCGACTTCTCGCTTCTGATCGTCGGGGACGCAACGCTGCCGGTCATCACACGTATGCCTCCACCTGTTTATATCTTCGAACTTTCTACTCCGTAGTTCTATTGTTGTTAGTTTGTGTAGTTTGTGATAGTTCTCTCGCGTAAGCTGATTTATTGTTCTGTTATATATTTCTTTAGTTGTATCAAGTGTCCATATATTTTGTTAGTTGTATTGAAGTGTCGTATTAGATCCCGTGTGCTGCAATATCACTAGAGTAAAGTTGTTTTGTTTTCTCACGTCTCTGATCTCTTCACTGTCTCTGCTTGCGTACGGAACGAACCAACCTGCTGTCATTCCCGTCGCCGACTTCGTGCTGGCGACGCTAGAGTGGCAG